TAGTGGATTCCTCACGAAAATTCACCTTCCTTGGCTTGGGCAACCTGGCAGTATTCAGCCCGCATGCAAAGCATGGAACGTTTTCTTTTTCATAAAGATCATTGTACCATAATTTATTTGGCACATATGCTGGCATCATAATAAGTAGTATGTGATGGATTGGACATGTCCCTGGAAGCCCACGATCGCTTTCGCGGTTCTTGCCGCTCGTCAGGCATGCGTATTCGGTAACCTTTTGTGAGTTCATTCATATACTTGTACCCAGAAAGTGCTTTATCGTCACAATAACCTTATTTCCAACACCGGATGACTTTTGGATAGGCAGTTCTTTCAGAGTCAGTCCACTGAAGAATCAATGCTATGATTCAGTGTTTCTGTAAGGTGCTACTAACCGCAACAAACGTGACTCGATCGTATTTACAGAATATTTCGTAATAAGTAGTATGTGAATGACCGGATAAAACAAGGTTAACAAGGCCAACAAGGTTATTGTGACGAAAATACATTTCCTGAGTATAAGTATATGAATGAACCGACAAAAGATTACCGGATACGCATGCCTCACGAGCAGCAAGAACCGCAAAACCTGTCGTTTGCTACCAGGGAAATTTCGCTCAGTCATTCTCATACTTCAAATTATAAAGTATATATATATATATACATATTATGGATGCGATTTTATTTTGGCTGAAAGCTTGTATATAGCTTGCTAAATAAAGTCCCAATACATTACGAAACAATGTACTTTCCAAGATTCTGGTATGCAAGAAAAAAATAATAGAGGACTGTGGTAATTCTTGGACTTATTAGCCACATCAAGTAAGCATAAATCAACCAAACACTTGCATGGAGCGCGGAAACGTACTCGGGCTTTGGGCAATAGGAGATAATTGTTCAACTGAACGGCCAAACCACAATCGGGATGATCCAGTGACGATCCGGGACGTGTGGGAAATCCAAGTGGAGCGCAGCGAATCAAACGAAGCACGGTGTCCAATAACAGCCCCCGTTGAACACGGTCTGCCGTCCAAATTGTGTCCAATAGTTGATGCACAATTAAGCAATAGGTGAACAGAACTCCAGTTCCTTGATCCAGGATATCCAAATAGGTCATTAAGGGATGGTGATTCGACTGCTGGGGTTAATAAAGAGAACAGATTTGGAGCACGATTAGACCATTCGTTTATTTTTACTTTAATGCGTGGCATCGATAAGTAGTCACAAATATACCCGCACCACCAAACCGACGCGGTTGGAGGAGGAGGACGCAAGTCACAGAAAAGAGTAACACGAAACGAAAGCTCTTGTTTGAGTTCATCATGCACACTGGGGCCTCCAAGACAGCATACGCCCAACACACTGAACTACGAAATGGAACTGCTAAACAACGTGTTTCAGTTCAGTGACCAACACAAGGCGTTTTTACAAAAGCATGACTATTGCATAAGAACAAAAAAGCCAATGTTTTACAATTGCCAGTTTAGGGACAATGACATAGACGGGCTGCTTGTAGAACGACTCGTGTTGACGATCAAACGATTACAAGATGACTCCGAGTTGGTCCTATTTTACACAAGTCGTGTGTATATACACATCCCTAATTATGCGGTTATCATCAGTTCAGCGCAACAGTCCCCGGACACAACTCGCAAAATTGGATTGTCTACAAGTCAGCACTCGCAAGATTGTTAAGGCTCGCTGAAGCGATTGCTATTATTAGATGGAGCACCCCCCCCCCTATGCCGCGGTTTTTTTTACTCTTACCCCCTTTTTATGTTCTGTCTGTTTTAATATATTTTGTTTTACTTCGCTGTTATGTTAAAGCCCTATATAAACATTGCGTTTTTCGGCAGTATGCATCATGTTGAAATGCAGTGAAAACGTCCTGGATATAAAAAATTGAGCAGTATTGTAATATGGTCTCTTCTTTTGAAAATAATCTCGGGAAAGGCTTGCTTCAATAACAACTTCGACTAAGAGTTACCAGACCGTGGGCGCAAACTTATGTGAACCGGTGGGGACCTAGACGAAATATCACCGACCAGGTGTGGATACCAGTCGACTGCACCGCACCCCCCATATACGGGAATTGAAAAATCGGTTTCACTGAACTACTGCGTTCTCTCTAGTCCAAATCACAATCAGCTCACGTTTACTGAACGGTGCGTAACGGTATTACGATTGAGAGATGAAAGCATAATTTGTGTAAGCCAGAAGTTATTCAATGACGTGGTGATGGCAACTGTGAAGTAATAACCGCAAAATTAATCCATTCGTTGTAACGACTTAGGTCTCGGACAAGATGTTGCGAAATCTATCCAGGTGTACCGTAAATTTGCTGTGTTCAATCTTCAGTTTCACTTCACTTCCAAAATCTCATTTAACATTTTAAGTACTATTAATAGAAGTTCAAAATCCACTCCAGATAACGTGAACAGCGATACCCAGAAAAAATCAAATCAACTATAAGCGTCACATGGGACACAAACTGACTATAACAATGCCTCGATGTGACCGGGGGTGGATGTCTCGGGTTGGAAAAAGTTACTCTTCTATGGCACCTCGCGAACTGTTACAGTACGGTTAAGCGCCGTAAACAGCCTATTCCGTAAAAGCCCCTAGTGACTGCTTTCCCGTGGAGGAGGTGTTTTCCCACCAAATAACGAGGAAAAAAAGTCATCATTCGGGACTATAACCGGGTCAATGAACAACTGGATAAAAATCCTGATTCTGAATCAGTCAAGAAGCGACGTATGAATCACACGCACATTCCTGATCGCAGCAGTAGTCACCGGATCGACTGGTATCGAGATGTATTGAGCATATGACCCTATCCAAAGGGCATATGATCCTATGAACTGGACACCGGCCACCCAATAAATTGCAGCTTTTATTTACCACCTCGCTGCCTTGCGTGCAACCCTACGGTAGTGAAATTCCCAGAACTGTTCACCTGCTTCGGCCTGGGCAGCCCAATAGTTTCCGCTCATGAGCCAATGATATAATGACTTCTTAGCTATAAAGAATCTAATACCGCGAATTATTTGGCACGGTTTGAACAGACGTGATTATATATATATATATATATATATATATATATCATTATGCGAAAGAGGTGGACAGATAACTTGTTATCTGTTGAGCTTTCCAGTACCGAAAGGTGTACAAAAACATTAACTCGAATCGATTCAAAGTGGTAGAAAAAACAGAACAAGTCAGAGACCAAAAGAGTTTCCCCAACTACATATACATACCGTGTCCGACTGGCGCTTCATCTCTTCTTTCCTGTCGGAATCCACCAGATCCAGTGCACAGTGCAAGTGAAACTGGTATCGAGCGTGTCGGATAGGGGGTGCGCGGGGCAGAGTCCACAAGCGCTCGAGCGAATAGATCACACGAATCAAACAGGTCAGCGTGGTGAGAAACACACTGGTGGCTGTGGTGGTTGTGGTTCCGGGAACGGAATCAGCAGTTAATAAGCCAGAGACTGGTCAGGGAAGCGGGGGTGGGGAAAGGTAACACATAAATAAAAATTAAATGGAAGCAGCGGAACAATCCTGTGTGAGAAACAGAAATATGACGATCATATGTGAATGGAGCCCAAGCCCTTCCTATGCGGTGGTCAAATCACAGGAAGAACCAATGTGCACAGCACCACTTAGTTTAGGCATAAACCAATCTCACTGCCATGATCAATGCAAGCGGGTAACATCCGTAAAAGGTTCATTGATAAACTAATAGGTAACTTGCAATTGACTACAATCACCATTATTACTGCACAAGGATGTAGTATAGGAAATGACTGAGTTCCGAACATAGAAGTAACACAGTCTAAACAAAAATCAAACCAGACAAATAAACACTGTTGGTTCAAAACATGAGAACTGCACAGGAAGAGAGAAAATTTCGCCCTGACGTGTTCTCACAGTTCTCAAAGTCAGATGAATAGATTTTCGTGGGCGGTTTCTCAGGTGACCTTCGCTCAAGGTCGGTACACATGGCCGTCTATTAAGCTTCCTGGGACAAACTGGAAGCCAAGAACGAAGGATATTTTGGTGTTCGTGGACGAACTGATTTGTCATCTCATTATTATTCAAACAAGAACGTACCTCCCCTTGCTCAAATCATAAGCTGAGGCAAGATTCAAAAAATTTGGTCTGAATTCACGATAGTCAGTACAGAGTTTCCGGATGCCACCTGGAATGGGTGGCCCGTCGGTGCCACTGGTCTGAAACACATTGTATTGAGGGTAGTAGCCACGTTTCAAATAAGACTGCTAAACGGTAAGGCGGGTGCCATAAAATCGAAACATGAGTAGACAAATGGAACGACATTGCTAGTAGGCAAGCATTCGGTCACTGTATGGACAGCAATTATATCTGACGGAGAGAGAGTTGAGGTTTGTCGACCAACGTGTGACGGGTGAGAAGTACCTAAGAATAAGAGACGGAAAAGTGAAGACAATGCCGGTTCAAAAACCAAAGTTTACCCTCAAAAATGACATGATTGAGAGTGAGCTTCGCCGCTCTAATGCTTGTGATGCGCGAACATTTTTCCGGCAAACTTGACAAAAACCGAAAGAAGTCAATTTATTTGAAGGGTGACCGTTCGACTGTGGAAGACGAGAAACACGGGTAAATGCCAAACGTTAGAAGTACTGAACACTATCTCACAATTACTAGCAGCCGACCTAAAAAGATGGAGAGGGATTTTTGTTTCAGCTTTCATGGTCATTCATTCTCGCACTTCTGTGAGCAGAGTTTTTATCACATCACACGGTGAATCATGTGGTGGGGAAATCAAGAACAGGAGAGCTAAATACGAGTATGATGAAGACTACAGCATTTTGCCAGATTGGATGTGTGGAAAGTTGTTAGGACGGAGCTTAAGCAACCCGTCCGATCGCGCACGCTCGCAACGGTCCAGACAGCCTGAACCTGATTGGATGATCACAGAACATGTCAGCCAATGTTTGTCCGATCGATCAATCGGTATGTCAAGAACGCAATCTGATTGGCGCATCATTGCGCCGTTCTCTTATGTACGATTTGCTCTATATATTGGCGCATCGATATCCAATCAAAGGATACACACTGAGTGTTGTTTCAAGCTGTGTTCTCTCTCCGCGATATCGTGTGGGGTTAAGCAAGAGTCGCTCGTATCATTCGTACGTCTAGTCCGAACAAAACAAAAGTGAAGAGAGGCACAACCGTAGCACTTTGATTAGACCAGTTTCACTGGAAGGCACAAATCGATCAAGTCCAATAGGTCGTTGCACTGAACAGGGAAAGTGCTCACTGCATCTACCTAGCAGTACTGCTGTGCTTTATTGCGGCTGGTTCCTTGGAGAAGACGAGAGGGTTCCAGGAGAGGCTTCGGGCAACATGGCTGTTGATTAACAAGGAAGCTTGGAATGAGACGTGCGCAACCTCACTCGGTTACTTTTCGAGGGCATACTACCAAACTTTGCATGGTCAAGTGCTAACTACATGCTGTGTGTTGCTACGCGGGAGCTGGTAGCTTCGCAGCAGCTCAGTCGTCATTTGGTAGATATCGGTGTAACCCGTGCATCCACGCATCACCGTTAGGTAGACAGACTTTTTTCATAACCGCCAAGGCTTTGATACCTCGGTTAACCTCAATTTGATTTAGCTCATCTGTTGAGCGGTTTTCTGGGGTCTGATACATGTCTCAACCTCCTGGAGTCATAATTGAGAGTTTGGGATATGATGCAGACCAAGGAGACGGAGAGTGCCCCAAGGGAATATGCCAGTCCACCAATTTAGATGTGTTTCTTCTATCCTATACCCCATAAGTTAAGTATTATAGCAGAATCAAACTTAAAAATTGGCAACATTTTTGCAGCTATCGGTAAATGTTTCTGAGAGACGGTTAACACGAGGCGGAATAAGACCGTATATTCGCTATTATGGAGGCAATAATGGTCCGACTGGACACTTAGCTGGGCGGAGTTCCATCATGTGCCTTGGCATATGTACCAGCAACATTTGACTGACATAACACGAACGGGGAAGAACAAAGAAAGACCGAGAGTACAGCGAGAACGTCGCCATGCACAGTATTTCCAAACTGTGAATAGAGAAGAATGATATTAGACGAAAGTAGTACAGCGGTTTGCTCACCGTTTCCGGTATCCTCATCGTCCCAATTCCGATCGGTACGGAAGAGAATTTCATTAAACTCTGCCGGATAGAGATTTGTCGAGTCGGCCGGACATGAGACGGACTCATCCAGCATAGACCACACGGGCAATGCATCAACCAGTCCAGAATTAACCTCATCCGATGCGATTGTGGTCCGGTCCGTGGAGTGACGGAACAGAGTTAGAATGTGCAACAAGCACAGTAAACAATCGATTGCAGTTTCGCAAAACACTTCGTTGTTGACCGTGGAGAGAAACACCTAAGTATGTGTATTGGAAATGAGAACGACGTATAGAATGCGTATGAATGGAACATCGAGCCAGTTACTTTCCGGGTTGCACTAGGCACAGCAGAAAAGCTGACACTTTTAGTCATAATGATCTAATGAACAGTGAGAGCAATCTGTCTTTATGACATATCAGAGAAAGGAACAGTAGAATATGTGAATACTGACCAATTGAAACTCCTACTTACGCAGTGGAGTTATAAAAAGCGTAACACGGAATGGCACAGTGCAACACGTCAGCGAAACTGTACATCAATACACCGCATGAAAAAGATATTTAAATCTAACAAACAGATGTCAAACAAAGAAAAGGAATCGATTTCAAAGAGCACTATCAGGACAATGAAATACCAATGCTCGTGTTCCAAGTGGACGACAATCGGACAGCTAACCAACAAGATGGTATAGTCCAAGCACCACCCTTTGTGGGTTGATACGATGAAGACCCGGCAAGTGCTGCAGTTATTAATAGGATTGTGAAACTAGAAATATGGCACATCACTAGACAGTGCTCGCATGTTTATCAAAGTCAAGAAGTGTGGAACAAGAAAGAAGGGCAACTATTTCATTGCTCAAGAAGCGAAGAGAAAATCGTACTCAGACCGAGAATGATATGAGGCCTAAGTTGCCTAGGTTGCGGCTTATCAGTTTCTACAACCATTAACTAAGCAACTGTGTGCGTCGGTATTGATTACCGTCTTTAGGCTGTCCATTTGGATAAACGAGCCGAATAAAGATTGGAATGCTGAGAGCAGAGAAGATAGAGAATCCTCATAGAAGAAGTTTGACTCAAACGTTTGCCCATATGGCAGTGGAGTGTAGCTCCAACGCGGGAGCTGGACCGAAGAATCCGATTGGGAACTTCGAGAGACATGCCATGCAAGGCTTTCGCGTTCCAGCTTAGTGTATTGTTGGCTGGTGCGTTGATTATTGATCTACTATTTGAGATTCGCCCTAGGTCTCATGAATCCAACGAGACAAGCCATACGTGGACGGAACAGCATTTTATTGGCTAGGAGCTGGCCAGTTTGAACGGGCGGTGGCTGCCCAGAGAAGTGCGAAGACCTGTCCCCCTCCCCCGTTGGAAGAAGGACACAAGTACTTCACACGTGCGTCTATCTAGCAAGGTTTTTGACAGGAAAACTGCTCCTTTCAGTGTTTATTCTCTGTGGTGACCTCTACTGGATGGGGACATCCGGATTATTGTAACTGACGATTCGAGACACAGAAAGATATGGTTGTTTCGCTTGTGAATATTTTAAATTTCTTTGCAACTATAGTCTACATTTTCTCTTCCGTATTGCTCTTAACTTTCCAATCTTCTTTCTACTCCCTCATCCAAATGGGCAGCCAAAAAACAACAATCGAAACCAACACATCCTAAGAACATTATTCATGGTTGTACGAACTGAACCGAAACTGACGTCCGAAAGAATGTGCATATAAGTTAAGAGGCCAGCCCAGTTCGTCTCAAGACTGTCCGATTTTTGGTTCGTAAGGTTTGCGATACTGTTGTCACTTATTTTCCACCCGTATGATAATGATAACAAGCCTGGTGCGTACAATCTCAGACCGATCGGCTGGTCGTAACTGGACAACCGTCGAATTCCTTGTTGCAACTAGCTGATCTGACCGATCGATGAATGAATCCGATCAATCGTGTTTTTCGGACCCACACAGAAGATTATTGTATGGATCCTATGCTATTTATTCATTTGTAGAGGATAAGTGATGAGGCGATAAACTATGCGGAAAATTCAGAATGAAAAAGTTTATGCTCAAGTGACATTGTATCACTACGATTTCAACAACTCAACGATTGTTAACAACTGGGAACTCTGTGCACTATCCAGTCGGTGAGCGTAGTCGAACTGCATAATACGAAGAAGGCGCTGATTACACGAGAACCACTAAATCAAATTTCACCTGTTCGCCGAGCTTGGCAATTTGTTTGTAAACGTTTCATCACCAGCCGAGGTGATGATGTCACCTCGGTTGGTGATGGAACGNTTGCAAACAAATTGCCAAGCTCGGCGAAAAGGCGAAATGGAATTCAGTTCACCCGAGCGACGAGAACCGATTTTCAATATTTTGTTAGCCACCGAATTATCCAGTCACGAGGAAATTAAAAACATTTGAATAATAGGTATACAATAACACGATTGTTTAACGTCACACGAATAACATCACTGGTTATTAGGATTATTAGGATCAGCCGCAAGTGAAAATCCAAGTCTGGACATGAACTTACTTGACTCGATCGGAAATAGTGGGATCTCACAGTACGGTCAGTTTATTCATTCTGTGGCATGATGCTGACAGCAGCAACAAACCGAATCGAATCAAAGGACAACTGGAATGATAATTTTAGACTGTACTTACTTCGAACATCTCCATCACGGTCCCAAGTCGACGGGCATTCAATTCGACTGAACCGCGGGGTATGTCCGGGAACTGTGCTTTAAATTCCCTGTCCCCAACACACTCATCGGTCGAGCGTTCATCGTGCGCGAATCGTGGGGATCGAAGTAGCGCGTGCTTTAGCCGTTGAAACAGTCCGAACTGGTGCGAGAGTCGCGCACGATCCGTGGCAGATTGGCCAGTTGACTGTGTCGGTAATCGCACACATTCGGGTCGTACGCAGCGAAGTGCGGAGAACAGAGGTTTCCAGGCGGAACGCAAATAGTCGCTGCCGGATTCGACCAGTGCACAGAGGCATGTGATCAGACGATCTTGCACATCGGAATCGCACAGTTCTGCGAAATCAGTAGCGAATGAGGAGCATGATGTTTCTGCGCTTAGAGCCACATACCCTCTGGCTCCGGAATGAACACAAAGTGCGCGACTTAAATGGCACAGAGCAATTCACAGTGAGTGACAGCTAAATCACTGTATAGCCAGTATAAGAGCAACATTTTGATCGCAAACTTGTACCGTGATTGGTTTATTAGAGAAAAGCAGACTCTGAACGGCAAGTGACACGATTAGTTTTGTCAAATATTTCTTAACACTTAATGGAGGTAGGCAGCTCTGCTTTCGTCCGGTTCAGGATCACGCTAATCTTGTAGCTGCACACTTTAAGACCAGTGACTTAGGTTGCCAGTTTCCATTACTGAATAGCGGGTCTACACGGCTATGGGATTCACCCCGTGGGCTGTTTACCACACAAAGATGTATAATGAAGTAACTAGACCCTCATCTGTTGAAGCATCCTACTCTTGTTAACGCGCCACGTGTGGTAAACAGATGAGCGAATGTGGTCCCATTTTCCGAGGAAGAGAAAAACTGAGCGGTTAAAGGGTCATCACAAGACAGCAGCCATATTGAAAGATGCAGTGTTAAGGCTATTTAGCACCAAATTATGGTGGGGTGATACAAAATGACAAATCAAAAGGCATTAGGTGACGAAAAAAACGAGTAGTCACAGGGGATTATGTGAAGTTAACTTTGGTGACCGATTGGAACTGGTTTACAATTTTCTGCAAAGGAGATAAACAAGACAAACGAAGTAGCAAAAAGTCGAAAATATTTGCTTCGTCCGGTACACAACATCGTTTAGCCTTTCGGGAAGCGTGGGCAGCATTCCACACATAGGAAGCCATTATTTGATGAAATTCATACTTTAGAAATATGTGAGGACCAGTAGTTTTCTTTAGGTGATCATGCGCTTCCGTTGGTGAACGTTGATAGATGAGAACATCGACTAATTGTGCAGTGCTCTTTATCAGCCAACCCATTGAGTGCTGATGGAGCGGTCAACGAACTCCTAAAGATGCTATATTCAAAGGATTAAGTGGTTGTAAATAAAGCATGGACCAATCTGATAGTTGTATTCACAGGCAAGATACATACTGTTATCGTCGGGGAGATGAGCTTGTTTGCAATAACTTTACCCTTGAGCAATACAATAATCGGTAAACGGATCGGGAGTCTCGTCTAGCCCATAAACCATAAAATCGATTAACGTTAACTATAAAATTGATTCAAGCGCACATTTCACAATAATACGAATAAAAAATATTATTTCTCATATTTCTGTAACTATATTCTTGTTCATTTACTTCCTTTGATTGAATACATAGTGATAGAACTTTCAAGAACGGAGAAGCGGCTAATCAAGGGACTGCCATACAATATTGAATGGTCACAAATTAAGCGGTGACGGTGGTGGTGGGATTTGAACACACATCTTCCGGGATAATAATTTGATGATGTTTCTACCGGACCACCACCGCCCATATTATCTACAAATTAGGACTGTTAAAAATATATGCCAGTTTGGTATTTTACATATTTCGGTTTCCAAATGTGAGGAGTCTTCAATGACGAAAAATTCGATATATGAGGAACTGAATGGGTGACCGAATGAAAAGAGCAAACTGAATAGCCATCGAGGTTGCAAACGAGGTTTGATTAGGAGAGTACCAATCGAGAGAGCATAGCTGTAAGCTACCGAGCGCGTCTCCATGTCGCAGATAGGGGAAGGACGTCATCTCGCGGCTAACCGTGAATAAAGTGTACTTGGGCCATCTGAATAAGTCATTGCGGACGATCGGCGGCAGCGCTCGCACATTCGAAACCCTAGTCATCGATGTGTGTTGTGATTCTCCTGATTCAACTCAATTATCTGACCTCCTTTTACCCTTCTAGGTATCCCAACCCCCACCTTATATTACTCTTGTTGTTGCGTTGGCATCAAGCTTGCTCGCAAGCCGATGACAATATATATATATATATATAGAGTGCACCACAGGTCATCCCGGATCAGCGCGACGAACGTACCCAGTTTGATAGTATTCTCCAGCGGTTTGCACCAGGCCTCATTAGTCGTGAACAGTGGCAGTTCCGGGTAATTAGTGATCGCGGTCAGAATGCATGTGTGCATCGCGTCCAATACACGCTGGATAACTTGCGGTTGTGCGATGGCATAGGTTGTGCGATCGATGAGCCAGCCGTGCACGTGACATACTTTGATCAGTTCCGGGGCGACCGCAGCCCAAATGTAGAGCAGATGCACCAACGGTCGATGTGGGCTGCGTACCAAATCCAGCAGTAGTTGGCAGAGTCTGAATCGGGAAAACGCAGCAAGAGTTCACATTTGAGCGTAACGCACTACAAGATATAACACAATTAAATTAAATTGAACAGTCATTCGATGTAAACCGGTGTTGAAGAGGTTTAGACTGCGTTACTAGGTCATGAGTGCGAAAATGGAAGCTGTTTAATGGTGCAGGGTGAATAACAGGGCGAGGGGAGGCTGATCGAAACAGCGGTAATACTGGATGATGCGGTGGGTTTATGACTTGAGATGAGTTCTCAGTGGACAGCGCTGAAACCGTAGCTCGTTGTAGTGTCCCCGGTACCCGATAAGACTCCTCACAGAAGAGATGAACGAACCAATTTCCAACTCAAACAAGAGCTTTGGTCAATCTCACGATTGGTTGTGCTTCTGATGTTCAATTATCAAATCTCACCGCTATGTCTCCTCTTAAAAGTGGGCCAACTCAGCGTATGAAGTCTGATGCATAACAAACAACAGACATGTTACAGAGTCTATCTATCGATGTGCGTTATATCCAGAAGGCTCTATCATCCAATTTATCCGTTACCCAATCACACCAAGAAGTTTCATTTACGACATACTGTTTATTCTAGCCAAGCTGGCATCGCTTAGTACCAATGGGACAGGACAGCTAAAACCAAGAGGCAGAGCTCAACTCTATTGCAAAATTGCAAAGTGCCCGATGGACTGCAAGCAACGCTTTGTTTATGAAACCTCCCGAAATTGTTTGCTAGACTCAGACTAGGCTAGTGGAATTCTGTTCGAGAGAAACTTATGTCCCGATTTCTTGGGTCTAATGATATTATAGCATGATTTATTCAGCCCTAAGGTGAGATTCATCAAGCCGGAAACACACAACTGAGTGGAAACTTTAACTGCGCTTCATTCGAAAGTTTGACTGAGTAAAATGGCAAAGCGTGATCCGAACTAATAGGTCTATTTTATAACCTACTAAATCCTTCGCATTTTTCATCAAAACTCAGAGCTGACCAAGTTCATCTTTTGTCATCGTCAATCAAGTTCATCTTGCAATGACTGACAACTGTGACTTGTTTCTCACGAGCAGGGAGAGGTCAACACAAAGCAACCGACTTAGTGAATCACCGAGAAGGACAGATGGGTAGAAAAGACTTGCGACCAAGTGACCACTGAGGTGTGCTGAACGGAAGCGGATGCGACCACAGCGTTTTATTTCTATCAACTGAAAGTGCCCGTTTCTCAAATAAATCTTAAAATGGTATGGTAAGGCTCGGAGATCTATTTGGCGAGAACAGTCTCACCCCTATAGATTAAAACCCACCAGCACCGGCTGCTGATTGAGGAGGGCTGTGAATTCCGACGATTAGGTGAGTTTCGGTCTGACACGCAGTGCAGCGACATCGTGGAGTTTTGCTAAGTCACCGCGTGTTCTTGACGGACGGATCTGGCATCTCTCGATCCCCAGTTGGGTCGATGGATTCGCATTGCTGATGACCCAACCAGGTCGAAACAGCTGTCCAGTGCTTCCTGGCTTTTCAGTTCACGCTTCATTTGCTACAAACAAAACGAATTCCCTTTTGAAATTGAATCAAATCCTGCATTACTCATGGGAGAGGTGGGTCTACCAATCCTAACAAGGATCAAAATCCCGAAAAACCGTGAGTATGCTCGCACTCTTGATGAAATCTCTGAGGGCTGAAATCTGATGAAATGTCAACGAAATGCATGGGAACCAGACAGAACAATCGTAATCACACTGCACACAGTCATCATCATCATTATCATCATACCGATCTAAAAGTGGATTGATTCCGAACGGGTCCAAAACGGAGAGTACGGGTCCGTTAATACTGGCCGGTATGGAACCGTTGTCGGAAGTGAAACTGGTCTCTCGATTGGCGAGCAATAGGGCTCGGGTGAAAGCGAGCACTTCGGGGAGAGAGAAATGATCCACAGCAGCTTGTTGGAATAGGCGATCTGTAGCACGATGTAACAAGTTGAGCAGATGTTCGGCTGTGGCGCAATTCAAAAATCCGGCTGAACCGACCAAAGGGTGTTGCTGGTACTGATCATCGGCAATCCCTGATTGAGTGGCGGGATCGCATCCTATTCCGGACGCGCTCGAGATGTCGTTTGACTCGAGAAGACGGAGCAAGAACTGGCTTGCATTGCTTGCGCTGTGTTAGTGATGACGATAGTTGCATGAAAAAAAGAGGAAAAAACGAGACTACATAACGACCAAGATGAGATAATATCGACTACAACAATGCTACATATTGATTTAGAACGAAATGAAAGAATATGAACAGTAACATTAATTTTATTAGATATCACATTATTCAGAATGCAACAGGCACTCCCACGATTAGAAGAAAAATGGCGACAGTTGTGACATTTCATAACGAATGAAGATAACGCCATATGGCTACAGACGAAACAAAAGAGCCTCGAAGATGCACGTGGCATTCACCAATAATGCTAAAAATCAAAATTA